GAGAGTGTCCTGAGGGGACAGAGGGGGACAGGGGGGCCATGGTGACAGTGGGGGGTGGCAGCGGTGTCCCCTGAGGGGCTGGCCCGGAGGTGGCAGTGCTGTCCCCACAAAAGGGGTCCTGGGTGTCACCTGGGGGGTGACAGCCGTGTCCCCAGGGGGGGGTGACAGCCCATCTGGGGGGTGACAGCCATGTCTCAGGCGGGTGACAGCCCATCTGGGGGTCACTGGGTGTCCCCACGGCGGGTGACAGCCTGTCTGGGGGTGCCAGCTGTGTCCCCAGGGGGGTGACAGCCTGTCTGGGGGTGACAGCTGTGTCCCAGGCGGGTGACAGCCGTGTCTGGGGGTGACAGCGGTGTCCCCAGGCGGGTGACAGCCGTGTCCCCCCAGAGGTGTTCCCGCCGCAGATGGAGGGGGTGAAGCTGATCGTCACCAAGACCCTGAGCAGCCACTTCCAGGTCAGGGAGGGGACAGCTGGGGCGGCCGTCCCCGCATGTCCCCTGTCCCCTGTGACCCCCGCTGTCCCCACAGGTGACACACACGGTGCACATGAGCACCCTGGGCCCCTCCGGCTATCGCTTCAACGCCACCTTCGTGGGGGACCGCCAGCTCGGGCCCACTGAGGTGACACCGCGGGTGGCAGCGGGCTGGCCGCGGGTCTGTGGTCACCCTAAAGCCACCGGTGACACCGGGGCTGTGGGGTCATTGTGGGCATCTCTGAGCCCGGGTGGCCTTGGGGTCATTGGTGGCCTTGGGGCCATGGGTGGTCCCAGGTGGCCTTGGGGTCATTGGTGGCCTTGGGGTCATCGGTGGCTCTAGAGCCATGGGTGGTCCCAGGTGGCCCTGAGGTCATTGGTGGCTTTGGGGTCATTGGTGGCCCTGGGGCTGTGGGTGGTCCTGGGTGACCCTGGGGTCATCGGTGACCCTGGGGTCATCGGTGGCTCTGGGGTCATCGGTGGTTCAGGGGTCATTTGTGGCCCTGGGGCTGTGGGTGGTCCCAGGTGGCCTTGGGGTCATTGGTGGCTTTGGGGCCATGGGTGGCCTTGGGGCCATGGGTGGCTCTGGGTGGCCCTGGGGTCATTGGTGGCTTTGGGGCTATGGATGGTCCCGGGTGGCCTTGGGGTCACTGGTGGTCTCAGGGTCATTGGTGGCTCTGGGGCCATGGGTGGTCCCGGGGTGGTGAGTGACCTCAGGGTGGTCAGTGGCCTTGGGGTCATTGGGGGTCTCAGGGTCATTGGTGGCCTTGGGGTCATTGGGGGTCTTGG